TTGCTGGTGCGGGCAGCAGCCTGCTTCCCACCGCAGCACGCCAGCCTGGCCCGCCTCTCGCCTGCCGCCTCCTGCCAGCACTCCCGCACATGGGCTTCTGCCTGTCCCCAGCAGCCTGGCAGAAATCGCAGAAGCCAGCGGTCAGCACCTCTCTCCAGAGGGGTCCTGAGGCGTAGCTGGGCGCAGGGGAGCTGCCATAAGAGAGGACTGAATTTTGCAAATGTGCAAATGTGTACAGATCTTGACTATGGAATGAAACTGTTCTTTTGGTATTTGTTGAAGGGAAGAAAATCCTTATGTCTCTTGCTGTGTCTAATATCAAGTGCTGTAAATAACGGATATGTCTGAAGGAATAAAGGTATCCTGTAACAGCCAGCCAAGGGAGAGGCGTGTGAGGGAAGGGAGAGGGGCGTGTGTGTGGCTGAGGCCCTGTTGTCCCCGCTGGCAGCTCTTCTGTGGTGCTAAAATCTTGAGGTAATTGCGGGGATCGCAACACGAGGTGAACATGATGCTGGTGGAGTCGAGCTCAATTTATTGACACAGCTCCGAGGGCAGGAGGAGAGTGGGAGCGGCTGCTGGCAGTCAGCGCTTAGCTCCTGCTGTCTGCCCATGCTGCCTACCTCGGTGCAGGATGGCGGAGGTCCAGCTCAGGCCCTCAGCTGGGATGGTTTCCTGGGCTGGGTGGGTTTTTCTGGCTAGAAGTCCAGGGCGCAGATCAAGGCTGTGCCCCGTTTGATCCAGTGCTTCTGCGGCTTGTCCGTAGGGATCTCCACAGCCATCACGTAGTTGGTGGAGTGGCCTGTTGTTGACAGCATGCCTGTAACGGGGGAAGCAAGGGTGAGAGGGGGTTACCGCAGCCCTGGCTGCTGCACACTGATCGGGGAGTCCCATACAAGTGACTCCACGCGAGATCCCGTCCCATCCCCGTGCTAGTTGACAGGCTGAGCAGGGCTGTGTGGTTTTGGGTGTGGGCTTGAGGAGAGCCTGCTCAGAGGCACTGCTGCATAGCCAGTGTGCCTGGCTGCTCCATCTCTACAACCACAGCAGGAGATATCTTTTTTTCCCTGGATGGTCTCAGCCAGCAGTGCCTTGCTCCGTGCCAGTGTCTGACCCGAGAGCCACAAGACCCTCCGCCAGCTTCGTGGGGGCTTCCCTTCCTAGCTGCTTCTACAATCTCCCTTGCTTCTGGAGGTCTGTCTTTAGGGCACCTACCTGCACGAGTGAGAGTCTTATAGATTGGGCACAGGTAGGTGCCAGTGGCTGGAGGCTTGTGGTTGGGGACAGGAAGCAGCCAGATGACGGCCATCTCTGTGTAAAGCTCTTTGGGGCGCGACTCCATGAGCTGAAACGCAGCGGGGTCCCAGCGGGCGCCTTCAAGAAACAAGCCATGGATGTAGCAGCCTTCGTCGGGATGGCGAGTGAGCTCACTCACCGACTCCTTCATCACCTGCAGAGGAGAGCGGGCCCAGGGCCCTTGATCAAGGCATATCCCTGGCGGCTCAGCCCCAAGGACCCCCTTAAGCTGCTCTTAGTTAAGTCAGGGCTGCGAAAGGGGAGTCTGCCCCAGCTCTCAGATGAGCTGGGCTGGGTTTTCTGGCATCTCACATCATAAGGCTGTGGGGCAGCCTGTGGCAAAGCCTGTGTAGGGGGGACCTGAGCAGCTCTAGAGAGGCAAAGAAGCCTCTGCTTGCCTTGTGGAGGTGTCTGGCAGTGTGGGTGGGTGTATCTGAGCACAAAGGGGATGGTGGGGCCCATGGGCAGCTGTGCAGTTAGTGGCTTCACCTCTTGGGCAGGTCAGGGCTAGAGCTGCTGCCTTTGTGGCCTTTTAGCAGCAGATTCAAAAAAAATCCAGAAAAATCCAGAGCTTCTGGCTGACTTGCTGACCTTGAAGCTAAATGAGATGGTGTCGATGGAGATGACAGACTTCCTGGCGAAGTTCTGCAGCGTCCCGGTGAGGAAGGCCTGGGGGAAGAAGAACCCACTGATCCAGAACACAGAGGGGATCCCGTGGCTGATCCATTTCTGCAGGAATTCAATCCGTTGCACTAAGTCGTTCACCCAGGATGCCAAGGGCTTCAGCGATGGGTAGGCCTGTGAGACATCCACAGAGGAAGGTGTTGAATACAATCAAGGACACCCTAGACCTTGTGCCCCAGTTGCTGACAATTGCTCAGAGCCCAGGGATTCATCCAGCCTGGGACTGGGAACAACTGTGAGCTGCAGTAGGCAGGAGACATTTCCATGCCAGAGGAAGAAGAGCCAGCTCCACATGAGACAGCCCAGTCCAGCTGTGGTCGTTGATCACCCATTCCCCTGGTTTGGATGAGCTCCTGCGGACAGCTGGGCTGGCTGGGGCACGTACCTTGGCATTCCACACCTCGGGGACAGTGTTGTTGTACAAGCTGCTGGCCATCAGCTCCAGCTGAGAGGACATCACGACCAGGCCCTTTAGAGCTTTCAGCAAATCCTTCAGTGTCTGAGCAATCACTTCCAGGAGCCTGTTGTACCTACAGAGAAAGAGGAGAGGGAGCAGAGCAACTCAGCGCAGTGGTTTATCACCCATGTCGGCCCAGAGAGGGTCTGGATCTCTGTACGACGAGTGCAGCTCCTCCGTGTAACCCCCAGCCCTTTTCCTCTTTAAGGGGGTCTCATAGCTGCCCCCCCAGCCCTGAATTGCTGACGGTAGTGGATGGAGACACTGATCAGTCCCCACAGGACAGCGATCGGCTGAAGGTCCTGGCTGGGACAACACAGTTGTTAGCATGGCTGCCAACCCCGCTGCCATGCTCAGCAACGCGGGTGGGAGCAGGGACCTGCACATCTCTGCTGTTGCCCAAGGGACCAGCCAGTTGCTGGCCCAGGACGTGATCCCACAGGGGTTTTACCTGATCACCTCCTGTACCAGCACTGTATTCATGGACTCTTCGTAGAGCAGTGGGTATTTGTGGATGACCTCCTGCAGGTTCATGGGAGCAGGCAGCTTTGCCAGGATGTCCTTGGAGGTCTCCTCCACGAGCTGGAAGGAAGGTAGCGAGCGGGTGAGCATCCTCCTGGCCACAGCTGCTGAGAAGGGGGAGAGCTAACCCACCCAGCTGGCAGGGTGGCACTCGCTGAGAGCCAGTGTTTGTGCTTGCTGCCTGTGCTGGGCACAGGCTGCCAGAGCGCTGATGGGATCAGGGCACCCACCTCTTCCCTGCTGCGGCCTCCCATAGAGAAGGTCTTGGGTTGCAGCTGCGTAATCACCCTTAGCAGAGCAAAGGTCTCATTCTGAGTGAAGGTGATGTTGGCGTTGTCATGTAAACCAAAGAACTCGGGGCTATCAGTGAGCGGCAGGCTCTTGATGTACTGGAGGTAGTCCTGGGAAGGAATCCACACAGGCCGTGAGGCCAAGGGCACAGAATAAAGCTGTGGTGTCCCTTTGGGATGCTATGGGCCTGGTCTGAAAAAAATGACTAAGCCAGGGTTGCTGGATAAGGTAAACCCAGCAGATCACAGACTTGGCTGAGAGATATTCCTTGTCTTGGTGTTTGAGATTCATTCGTCCAACTTTTACATAGCTCTTTGGCCCCTGTCACAGCCAGGAAACACAACTTGCGGCTTTGACTTAGGGACAGCTTATGCGTGCCCAGAGCAATGTTTGCTGATGCAGAACTTGGGCTGCTGGGGAGGCTCATGGGGTGGCAGCTCCGCTGAGCCGGGTTTGGTGGCTGAGCGGAGGCCGTAGCCATGGTTTGTAGTCTGGCTGGGGAGTTAAATCGCACTTGTGTGGAAGCAAATACATGCTATAAGAACGGGCAGCTTGGCAGTGAGCTTCCTGCAGAGCTTCTTGGGTACTTAAGGTTTCTGGTATCAAAATGACTCAAGAGTACAAAAGCTTTCAGCTAGGGAACTCTGCTCATAGCTGCTACCACCTCCTGCGCACAGGGACAAGATTTTCCTCCTGTTGCTTCAAACAGATGCAGCTTCCTGAAAGCAGCTCAAGATCCTCAGGTTCCTACAAACTTACATTCCCCCAGGGAACTGGAAATGCAACGGGTTTCAGGGAGGCGTAGGTCCCTTT